ACTCCACACCAAAAGAGAAGGATTAGCAGGAGGAGCTGTACAACATAATGTTAAATTCCAAACTGTGTGACTGTGCATCTGCAGTGAGGTCGAGCTGGAGCTGGTCTGGACAGTTGATCACTGAGATCTTCTTGTCTTGGAGTTCTCCTGTTACTCTGGTGGGTCTTTCAGGTTCTTTCTTTCTCTTTCCTCATTCAGTAACAGGTTTCCCACAGAGCTCCTCTGACTCCAGCCGCTCCCCAGAATCACACTCCCTCACTGGAAATACACAAGAAACAAAATACAATTAACTAAAAAAAAATCACCAATACTAATTACGTAACTTATCCTTGATGTGTTCAGAAAACGTACTGCATTTAGGAAACAAAAAAATGACATATCAGTAAACTGAATTATTCATAATATAATAATATTGTCTCATTCAAGGAATAACAAAAACCAAATAAATTCTGCAATAAAGGGCTATATATTGCATTAATCCTGAGAGCGTTTATTTATTTCTCAAGTTTCCTTGTGTGTGCTTGTGTACACTCACGTGGTCCTGTGTGAGAAAAGAGCACTACTCTGCATGTTCAACAGGCAGTGAGGCACTGGTAAAGCCACAAGCCACTAAAGGCAAATCTGCAAACATGTGTCATTGGCCCATTGATTTAAATGGGCGGCCATGTTTAGACCTTGGATCTATTATAAATGGATAGGGTATTGCTACTGTTTTGAGTTATCTTAGTGGCCAACATGAATCTATAATAAGAACTGGATCAGACACTCCCCCTGTGTCCGTGAGCAAGAGCAAATAGTCTGTATTTTTACAATAAGATCTTTTAAAAAATTTTAACTCTTCAAAGTGCCTAAAAGTTAGCTTGGTAAGATTTAGCTTAGCTTTACCCTAGTAGCTAGAGCTCTGATTGGTCAGAACTGCACACCAACGTGTCAATTTATACTCCACTAATAACACTGGATCAGTCCCGGTCTAGTCCTGGTCTAATCATGGTCTAGTCCCGGTTTGGTCGTGGTTTAGTCTCGGTCTATTCCGGGTCTAGTCCTTGTTTAGTCTCAGTCTACTCCCGGTCTAGTCCTTGTTTAGTCCTGGTCCGGTCCTGGTGTAGTCCTCGTGATCGGCTCGGTGATTGTGGTGTATATATTTATGCTCCGTTCATGTTTGTGGTTCTCGCTCTGGTTCTCGGGTCTTGCTTCCTGATAATAACGTCGCTGCGTCACTGGATACTCGTCCCTGATTGGTTGACGCGAAAAGTTCAACATTTTCAACTTCTTGACGCTGACGCCAAAACGCTCAAGACTCGCCGCGTCGACGCCAGATTCGCGCCGCGCTGACGCCGAAGACGCGCCGCAAAAACGCAGGACGCTCTGGTCGCGCGTCCACATCGACTTTACATAGAAAGTGGACGCTTTGACGCTTTGGTCAAAAAACGCCTTGACGCCTCTATTTGGACGCGTTTGCATTTGAGTTTAGACGCCCCCGACGCGCGTCTTTGACGCCGTGGACAAACGGGACAAAAATACTTGAGGCGCGTCCGTTGCCCTGGAAACAAGAGCCCGGTCCCGGTCTTTTCCCGAAACAATGTCAGACCAGACTGAGAGAGTGTTTTTATGACATAAAACATCAGCGGAGGAGATCGGGTCGACGACTGGGGCGTATATATATTTATACTCCGCTAATGACACTGGATCAGTCCCGGTCTAGTCCTGGTCTAATACCGGTCTAGTCCTGGTCTAATCACGGTCTAGTCCCGGTCTAGTCTCGGTCTACTCCCGGTCTAGTCCTTGTTTAGTCCCGGTCGAGTCCTGGTTTAGTCCTGGTCCGGTCCTGGTGTAGTCCTCGTGATCGGCTCGGTGATTGTGGTGTATATATTTATGCTCCGCTCATGTTTGTGGTTCTCGTTCTGGTTCTCGGGTCTTGCTTCCTGATAATAACGTCGCTGCGTCACTGGATACTCGTCCCTGATTGGTTGCCGCGGCGCGTCTGACGCGAAAAGTTCAGCATTTTCAACTTCTTGACGCTGACGCCAAAACGCTCAAGACGCGCCGCGTCGACGCCAGATTCGCGCCGCGCTGACGCCGAAAACGCGCCGCAAAAACGCAGGACGCTCTGGTCGCGCGTCCACATCGACTTTACATTGAAACTGGACGCTTTCACGCCTTGGTGTGAACGGCCCTTAAGTACCATGTGCAGTAGTGTTCTTCTGTCACACGAGCGCACAGGTCCACCTGACCAGCTCTGACCAATCAGAGTGAGAGTCGAACAACGCTAGAACGAAGCAGAGCACAGCCGGAGCTATAAAAAGCTATAAAAAAAATATATAAAAAGCTTTTTTAAGACAACTGAAGGATTTTGAGCTGAGAAAAAGTTAATAATCTAAAAACAGGTTAAAATTGCCACAAAATACGACCTTTTTTGCACTCGATGAGAAAAATCTTTTCTGGGCAGGAAGGACTTTGTTGGTGAAGCACCAGTGAGCGACCACGACGCCATCTCAAGACAGCTCTAATCTAGAAATAACCTAAACGTTTTTTATTATAGATCCATGCCTTTTTCTTGTCAAGCTAATGCTAGTGCTAAACAGGAGGTAGCAGAAGTTATTTGGCCAAGTATCAAATAAAATGCAATGACTGCTTTTAGTTAAGGAAAAATATGCAGGGTTATTTACAAGAAAGATATTCTGTTGTATATTTTTTTATTTACTTACTGTCAGGTGGTAAAAATGTGAAACTCTTGCTGCGCTTCAGTGGAAGTGGAACATCTGCAAATAAAAAATAAAACAGTCAGAACATACAGATCTGTTACTAATGATGTTACATTTTTAAGAGTTGTTTTTTATGTTATTATTGATTTCCTTTTATGCATAGGTGTGATGATCTTACAACTCTAGGCTTTGTAAATCCGTGTATTATTGGTTTATTCGTTTTTTCAAAATAAAACCAAAAATAAGAAAACAAAAAAACAACTATTTTCTTCATTATTTGTCTCCAAAACCAAAATGAAAAGCCAGATAACGATTTGATTTTTCAGTTTCTGATTTTGTGTTTAAATGAAAAATGGAAAAAACAGATAACGATAACGTTTCCCGTTTCTGTGACTTAAACTGCGATGCCGGACTGAACCAGGACTAAACCAAGACAGTGTGGGGTGATCAACACTGAGACCGGGCCCAGACCAGGACTAAGAACCAGACTGAGACCGGGCCTGAGACCAGGACAAGATCAGGACTAAGACTGGTTTAGTCCTGGTTTAGATGGCCGTTACCCGTTTTTTCATTATTTATTTTAATGTATGTAAATTCTGCCATGGTGTCAGAAGAGAAAATCACATCTGGAGGAAAAAAGCATCATGAGAAAAAATAAACAAAAGGTAGTTTAGTAGCAGTTTGTAGTATTTTAATCCTACAATTTTAATTGTCTTTCCCAGTCGAGGAGGAGGCGTATCTGGCCTACCTTTGTTTACTAGACACTCCCATCTCTTGTCTTAGTTTAACGATCTCAGTTGTCATCAGTTGTTAGTGATAATTACCCTAATAAAACTGTAAATAAATCTGCATTTATCTAAACCTTATGTCTACGACTTCAATTCAGCCATTGCATGTAGAAAGTTTATTATTGATTTTAATTAATGGAAATAAAACTCACCGTCTAAATGTTTTAAAGCGTCATAATCTTGAAGCGAAAGTAATGTTTTATCACCACTGAGCATGCGCAGTAGATGAAAACACGTTAATACGCCAAACCGACTCCTTATCTTCTTTTGAAATACCAGTGAACTTAAGCTTTCACGAGACGTTTGTAAAATATAACAAGGGGTGTTTCTCGTGCTCATGAATTAGTGCGCGTCTCTGTTAGAGCAGGTAGATCGTCCTAAGCGTCACATTTACGGCGTCAGAGTAGTAAATATATTCATTTCATCTCAATAAGTTAAAATGAATTAAAGCTCAAACTGTGGTCACTAGATGTCTATAACATCTACTTGATTTGACAAGTGCGTACCACAAATACTATAGTGACACACAGCACTGTGCTGATCAACTATATTCTATGATTTAAAAAAAAGAAAAAAGAAAAAAAAGTGAGACGGGGAAGTTTTGACTTTCACTTTATTGAGTAACACCAGCGCCACAAGGGGGCAGCACAACACTTACATATTCAATGTAAAAACACACGGGGAGAAACATGCAAACTCCTGTAAGAGTCAATCACAGGACCTGGCTTTGAAACAGGCTGTTTTATGGCAAAGTACAGATTTAAATGGGAAATTTGGCTCTTACCCCCATCTGGGACATGACATCATCACGTGGTGTCATAGAATATGATTATGTGATAAAGTCCAGCTTCTTTCAGTTGAGGCTCCTCACTAAAATAAAGCCCAACCTCCCACAGGCAGAGTTGGAAAAAGCTATTTATGCTTTTGTAACATCACACCTGGACTATTTTAATTCTTTGTATGTAGGTTTAGACCAGAACTCTGCAGTTCGTCTGTTGACAAATACTAAGAAACGTGAACACATTAAACCTGTTCTGTGGAACCTGCACTGACTCCTTGTCTTATATCAGATACAATTTAACATGGTATTAATTGTTTTCAAATGTCTGTACTCCATGGGTCCAGTTTATCTGAGGGAGTTACTGCAGCTCTAAACTCCACCCAGAGCCCTGACATCAGCTGACCAGCTTCAGTTGGTTGTACCCAAAACTAATCTCAATACAAGAGGTGACAGAGGCTTTTCTGTGGCAGCGTCCAGACTGTGGAACAACCTTCCTCTTCCTGTCAGATCCTCTCAGTCTGTAACACAGTTTAAGACTAGACTGAAAACTCACTTCTTCTCACTGGCATTTAGTACGAGCTGTTAGATTATCTTGGTGTTTCATTGTAGTTTTCATGTTATCTGTGTATATGTATTTGCATATATTTCTTTTATTTTGTTGACTTTTATGTGAAGCACTTTGTTCTGCTAAAGATTTCTAAATGTGCTTTATAAATAAACTTGAATTGAATTAAATGATGTCATACTACCTAATGGGGCAAGAAACAGTTCTAAATTCTCACTATTCATCACATTGTACCTGCCATGAAAGATAAAGACTAAAAGTAAATTAACAAAGCTGATCATTTCTATAATTGAATAGACTCCAGAACTGCCTGTATTACAACCACAGACTGTGATTATAACACAACTCTGTATTTGAATATTCATCTTATCTGCCCCATATCTGTATTTAACATGTTATGTCACCTGAACTCCAGTAACAGGTTCATTTGTGCTGATATTAGAGTTTTCATTCATTTTGTGTTGATGAAATGGACGTGAGCCGCACTTGAGACGTTCCAGAGTGACGCTCTACGTCTTCCTCTGATGTGTGCGCCCCGTGTCCACCCGCTACTCCACGTCCTCACGTCACGAGCCGCGCTAAAAGTTGGACAGGTGCAGCCCCCCTCAGACTCACGGCAGGTACAACCTGTTTTAAAGATTTTAAAGTATGGCATTAAACACGTCTTGTGTTTCCATTTCTCAAACATACTTTGAAAACATGCTCTCTTACTGTGAGTGGAGTCGCCTCTCCACAGATCTGACCTGTAATTAGCCTGGTGGTTTCACCTTAGAGACTGATAAGTTAAATACTGTACTGTGAAATATTCTAGGCAAAAACTGACCCTCCACTAGAGAAGTAAAGTCACACCTTTTAAATGACAAATAAAAACTTCACTCTCCCACAATTTTCTTTTGAACATAACAGACTTTTCTAATGCAGTGTTCAGTTTGTCCTTTTATTACCATCTTCATCAGGTCGTACACAAAAGACAGGACACAGTGTGAAGTTAATCAGCTTTCAGAGGTGGGACTTGCAAGTCGTGACTTGGACTCGAGTCAGACTTGTGTCACTATTTTTAGGACTTGAGTCTCGACTTGATAAAATGGACTAAGACTTGGGACTCGACTTGGACTTGAAGGTCAGTGACTTGGGACTTGGCTCAGACTTGATCCCTGTGACTTGAGAAGATTTGATGCTTCTGCTAAAAAATCTGTTTTTAGAAAATACTTTTCTCTTTACAGTTGATAAATGCAGTGATTAATTTTACAGGAACAAACTGGAACATGTCCGTCCCACTTCACTGTTACTTTGGATGTAACTGAAGTACTGTGATGTTGTATCTTCAAAAGTACTACAGCAGGAGTCTCCAACCTGTAGCTCGGGAGATACCAGTAGCTCTCCACCTCCTTCCAAGTATCTCACCAAGGGATTTCTGCATTATACCTTTGTCCTGAATAACAAAAATGTGGTTAATTACATGCCTATTACCATCGTACATGTATAAATTTGAAGCCCAACTTTGTACAATAATAAATGGACAATAGTTTATGTTTTATAGGCATCTAACTGCACCCCAAGACTCACCCTCTTTCTTATATTTGTCTCAATTTCTTGCGGCTGCTAAAATGAGTAAATCCCTGCCATTTTTATTTGTAAATGTAGCTCACTGGAGGAAAAAGATTGGAGACCCCTGTACTACAGTAATATACAGAACAATACAGAAAAACTACAAAAAACACGATCCGTCCATTTCAGTGCAGACTACAGTAATGGATATTAACCACTTTTAAATCTTAATTCTTTCTATTCTAAACTGTAATGATTCGCACTAAGATCTTGTCAAGACATTTAAAAAGAAAACATTTGCATTTCTATAACTCTTATATAAATATACCATATCTTTTTAAAGTACAATTTATCTTAAGAATCATATAAATTGAAGCTCAAATGAAGCTCAAAGCAGATGACTTGGACTTGACTTGGAGTTATGAGCCAGTGACTCGAGACTAGACTTGGACTTGCCTTGTCTTTGACTTGGGACTTGACTCGGACTTGAGGTCACAGACTTGAGACTTAACTGAGACTGTGCAAAACAACGACTTGGTCCCACCTCTGTCAGCTTTACTCCTGTGACAGACATAGAAATCCTCTGTTAGTTTGTCTTCACACATATCAGGCACTCTGGCGCCCTCTGCTGTCTCCAATGTGCTACTACAATCACATACTGACCGTGTTATTGTTATTATGATATTATAATATTACAGGATTTAAGTTGTTGACTCTCACTCAGTGTTGGGGAGTAACAGATTACATGTACTGGAGTTATGTAATCAGAGTACAAATTATGAGTAACTGTATTCAGTTACAGTTACTGTTTCAGTGAGTGGTAATTGGATTACAGTTACTTTGTTGAAATAATTGGATTACACTGTGGTATTTTCCTGTTTTCACATTTGGGGCTATATCCCTTTTTTGTTTTTTCTCGGTAATTCCACTCACAAACTAGGTCTAAACTAGGTCTAAAACCAGGTCTAAACAAGGACTAAACCAGTTCTAAACCAGGTCTAAAACAGGATTTAACAGGACTAAACCAGGTCTAAAACCAGGTCTAAACCAGGTCTAAAACCAGGTCTAAAACCAAGTCTAAAACCAGGTCTAAAACCAAGTCTAAAACCAGTTCTAAACAAGGACTAAACAAGGACTAAACCAGTTCTAAACCAGGTCTAAACAAGGACTAAACCAGTTCTAAACCAGGTCTAAAACCAGGATTTAACAGGACTAAACCATGCTGCGTGGACTGTGTCTCCTCCTCTTCTATCAATAATATTTTTAGTAAAGACTCGGCCTTTTCATTTTCTTTTATCAGATAAAACATTTTATGTGAAGATTTCCTCGTCTTTGCTTCTCTACAGCAAATCAAGTAATCCAAAGTATTCAGATTACATTACTCACTTTAAGTAATTTAATGGATTCCGTTACAAACTACATTTTGTGATATGTAATCTGTAATCTGTAGGGGATTACATTTTAAAAGTCACCTTCCCAACTCTGCTCTCACTATTATATAAATCATGTATGAACAATAAAACAGTTTTACATTTACATTGGTGACAGTGGAGCTTAATTATTTGGAGAGACAAACGCACAATTTACAACGTTTTACATAAATACAAATAAAATACAACATACCTGTGACAGACATGGGCCTATAAATACTCTTAGTAAATCTTCACACACACTGGCTCCTGTAAGAATGAGAACAGCACCGTGAGATGGCCGCTCATTTTCACGACATTCACAACCACAACATAAAACTAACTTTAAATCTTTACACGTCAAATAAAATGTACAAAACTTGAACTGAGCGCATCAAGATACATCCATTACACGTGAAAATATCGTCTTATCAACATGTGTTCTTGTATTTATGCGAACAGTGAGTCATTTTGATTAAATATATTTTCTTTTTAACAGAGACAGAACTTCCCCTGTGCAACAGCTACTGAGAGAGGAAGTGAAGCTGCCAAAATAAAATACACGCGCTTTTCAAAATAAAATGTCAAAATGATCAAATTCACATTTAAATTATAATGAAACATAAAACACAAAGAGGAAATAGCAATAAGCGCATTTTAAACTCCATTATACTTACTTATACTTATTTTAACTTCATATTGTTCAGAATAAACTCGACTCTTTGCTGACCTCTGGTGGTGAAGGAAAAAAATGAGCTGCAGAGATAAAAATTAAACTGAAATTGCAATTGAAATAGTTACAATTAGCAAATCACTAAGACTAATATCGTTTGTACTTGTTTAATTTTAGTGCAGTATTTTCTCAGTTTTGCACTAGTTTAATCTTAATTTTGAGAGTCACAATCCCAAAAAGTGGTGTTGTGAGTGAAAATTCATAAAATAGGAAAGTGTAATATAAAACAATAAATAATTAGAGTAAAAATTTTTAAATGGTTTGGTCCTGGTTTAGTTCTTGGTCTAGTCCGTTTTGATGTGGTGCATGTGTAAGTGTGATGCACCCTTAATTTCAGTCGTTTTCACAACTTTATTTATTTTTGGACCTGGAATATTTGACTTATTTCGGTGCTTCTCACTTGTAACACATTACTTCAATATATACATTAAATACATTATTGACAGTCAAATTTTTACCAAAGGGGAGATGGAAAATTCTCACATTTAGGCCTCTGTCCCTCGGCCTGTCCTTAGGCCTGTCCATAAATTGAGAATCAAACTTGTACATGTTTTAAATCGTGCTGCATACAGTTCCAGAAACTATACATTTTAATACAATACATAATACAGTTATCTCATATCTTTTTTTTTTTTTTTTTGCCTTAGTTAATGCAATTTTTTTCTTTTTTTTAAGTGTATTAAAATCAAGATAATCAGTCATGTCCATCTTTGCCTTAGTTTAGTTTATTTATTTAATGAGACAGAGACAGAGACAATCTACATTAACCTTAACAGGAGAGATGCATTGTACCAGGTTGTAGCACCAGTGTTAATTTCCACCTGTCGTCCCTGAGCAGGTTCATCGATTGATTGTATTTATTTGACCTTAGCCATCAGCTGTTCTTCTTGGAGAGCTGTGTAGCAAGTTTTTGGCTTATTGAATATTCTGCACCTCCTAAATCCATTCATGGTGCCACTCTTTGCAACACGTGACCATATCTCACCTGTAGTTTGTTTTAGGGCAGTGGTGGGAGTCATCCGTGTCCTCTCAAACTCAAACACTGTTACTATGGTGCCCTATGGTGTTTGTGAAAGGTGAGGTAGCATTATGTATCACACTGATGATTTTAGACTGCCTTCACCCTGGCACACACACACCACATAAAACTGGGACTTAACTGGGACTAAACCTGGACTAGAACGGGACCAAACCAAGTCTTCATCAGGTCTAAACTGGGATAAAACACTGCTGTGTTTAAATTTAGCATGGTATTAAACACACGCAAGATGTTTTCAGTCATATAATCTGTCAACCCAAAGTAAGGAGCTCATTTTGCTTTCTGATTGGATAATTGGATTGAGAACCACGTTTTCATTTGTGTTTTACTTTAATATTTGTTTCATTATTATTGCGACTAAATCATGAGTAAAATCAATATTTGCATACTTTGTTTCAAAAGGTTTGTACGTGAAAAGCATTAGTCTCCAAACACAAAAAACAACCAGTGACTGTCGTGTTTGAGCCAAACTAATTGTCTTAATGTACTCCTTATTTTTGGATCAAGTGCAGGGGTTATATAATAGCATCTAGGGATCCATCCAACAATACTTACAATACAATATAAGCCTAATATTGAAATATAATTTGACCCTCATAAAACAATCCACTGTGTGACTCTGTACACACGTCACTACTCCAGAGCGTTAGTTATACTTTTATAGATACATAAGAAAACAGCTTCATAAAGGTTGAATATGTTAAAACACAGAAGACACAGTTTAGTGTAGTGAATAAAATATCATGTTTATTGTTGATTATCGTTAAAATAAAAGACTGAAGATTTGATTTGTTTTTCTGATACCTAAAACATATACAATTCAAAGGTTTGGGTTAAGGATCGACAATGAAGGACTGCAGACTTAGTTAGACCCTCAAAAACAAATTAAATATGATAAAATGAGGAACCACAGTAAGTGCAGGGCCATGGATGGAGACGGGGGAAGGTGAGCACCGACACAAATATAAAACAATATAAAACTGATTATTCCAACATGTATAAATCATTCATAACATCATTGAGTATTATGTTTATAATGACACAAAGCCAGTTTAAGATTTAAAAGCTCTATAAGAACAGTACTTTAAGGTATTAGTATTTGACTGGGGTCAGACTGGAGTTCTTTATGCAGAGCCCATCCTTTCAAAGCAGTTTTGTACCTGATACATTGTTTAGTGACTACTCATATTTATTTATTCTTTAAGGTCCTTGAAATAGACGATCTGATTGGCTCTGTCCACTATGGCACTCTGTACAGTTCTGTACTTCACAAATCTGGGGAAAATGGAGGACCCTTCTGTCTTTGCAAAAGTACATCTTTGACGCTATTAAAACCTTATTTCTAACATTATCACAAAATAAAATTTGTTATAAAGACAACCCAATTTTTTTAAGTGTAGATTACTTTAGTTTGTGGTGTTATTTTAATATGTATTATGCTTCAAAATTAGCAGTGAAGATTCTTCATTTATAAAGTGATCTGTCAGGCTTAATTGATTTTAGCGACTCTGTGAAAACCTCAGAAGTACAGGTCCCTGTGACTGGAACTGCCGTGGCAAAAAGAGCCAACTGAAGATACCATCTAGAGCTAACCTGAGTTTAATTCTGAGAGGAGTGAGGAAGTGGTTCGTAAGCTTAGACAGTTGTTTTATGAAATCACACAGTAAGGCTGGTTCACTTCCTTTACAAACTCACTTATTTCTTTTTCATGTTGTTTTTGCTTAGTTTCTTTCTCTTCTTCCTGCTCTTTTTGCTTTGTTTTTTTCTCCTCCTCATTTCTGACTTTCTTTATTTCTTTTTCATGTTTTGTGACAAGTTCATTTATTTCTTTTTCATGTTTTGAGATTAATTTATTCATTTGAATCAGCTTGTCTGGTTTTGCCCAAAGTTGTTTTACAATAACACTTATTTCTTTCTGATGAATTTCCATCTTCTGCATCTGATTTTGAGCAGTCAGTGCCTGCAACAGATCAAAACGCTTATTTTTTTCTTCAATTTGTTCCTTGTGAAGTTGTTTCAGATATTCTGTGTCTTTTGTGTGTTTTTCTTTGAACTCATTGTGCTCTTCAGCTTGTCTTCTGGCCTCTTCTTCATATTTCCTCTTCATTTCTTCCACTTGATTTTGATGCCCCTCCTTTAACTCTTCTCTCTTCTTTTCCTCTTGTTCTAGTTTCAGTTCATTTTCTTTGAGTCTTTCATTATAGTTTTTCATTTCCTGTTCCATTTCTTTTTGCCTTTTTTCTTCTTCCTGTTTTCTTTCTTCATCTTCTTGTTTTCGTTTCTCCCACCATTCTTTTCTTTCTCTTTCCCACTGTTCTCTCTCCTGTTCCATCAGTCTCCTGCTCTCTTCTAGTTTTATTTCAAACATTTCTTTAGATTGCTCTTCTGATCTGATTTTTTCTTCCAGTTCTTTGTGTTTTCCGTTCCCATTCCTGTTGCTGTTTTTTCTCTTGTTCCTTCCTCTGTTTGTCCTCCTCTTCTCTCTTTTGTTGTTCTTTTTTGCGCTCATATTCAGCTTCTTTAATCTTCATTTCCTTTTCTTTCAGTTCTTTTTCTTTCTGTTCCTTTTCACTTTTAATTTGTCTCATTTCTTCTTGTAATTTTTTCTCTTGTTGTCGTCTTTCTTCATCTTCTTGTTTTCGTTTCTCCCACCATTCTTTTCTTTCTCTTTCTCGTTGTGCTTTCTCCTGTTGCATCTTTTTGATCTCTTCTAGTTGCATTTCCTTTGACTTTGTTTCAAATTGGATCTTTTCTTCCAGTTCTTTTTGTTTTTGTTCCCACTCAAGGCGCTGCTGTTTTTCTTCTTCCTTCCGCTTTCTCTCTTCTTTTTCTCTGTTTTCCTCCTCTTTTTTATATTTCTCCTCTTTTTCTTTTAATTCTTTTTCTTTCAGTTCTTTTTCTTTTTGTATTTGTCTCATTTCTTCTTGTCTTCTTTCCTCTAGTTGTCGTCTTTCTTCATCTTCTTGATTTCTCTTCTCCAACTTTTCTTTTCTTTCTCTTTCCCACTGTTCTCTCTCCTGTTCCATCAGTCTCCTGTTTTCTTCTAGTTTTATTTCAAACATTTCTTTAGATAGCTCTTCAAATTTGACTTTTTCTTCCAGTTCTTTGTGTTTCCGTTCCCATTCTTGTTGCTGATTTTCTTCTTGTTCCTTCCTCTGTTTGTCCTCCTCTTCTCTCTTTTTTTGTTCTTTTTCACGCTCACATTGTTCTTCTTTTAATCTTCATTTCCTTTTCTTTTAGTTCTTTTTCTTTCTGCTCTTTTTCTCTTTCAATTTGTCTCATTTCTTCTTGTAATTTTTTCTCCTGTTGTCGTCTCTCTTCATCTTCTTGTTTTCGTTTCTCCCACCATTCTTTTCTTTCTCTTTCCCACTTCTCTCTCTCCTGCTCCATCTGTCTCTTATTCTCTTGTAGTTTTATTTCAAACATTTCTTTACTTTGCTCTTCGGATTTGACTTTTTCTACCAGTTCTTTGTGTTTCTGTTCCCATTCCTGTTGCTGTTTTTCCTCTTGTTCCTTCCTCTGTCTCTCCTCCTCTTCTCTCTTTTTTTGTTCTCTTTCACGCTCATATTCTGCTTCTTTAATCTTCATTTCCTTTTCTTTTAGTTCTTTTTCTTTCTGCTCTTTTACATTTTCAATTTGTTTAATTTCTTCTTGTAATTTTTTGACCTGTTGTTTTCTTTCTTCATCTTCTTGTTTTCGTTTCTCCCACCATTCTTTCCTTTCTTTTTCCCGCTGTTCTCTCTCCTGTTCCATCTGTCTCCTGTTTTCTTGTAGTTTTACTTCAAATTGTTCTTTTGACTGTTGCTCTAGTCTGATTTGTTCCTCTAGAGTTTTTCTTTTTTGTTCCCATTTCTCATGCTGTAGTTTCTCTTCTTCCTTCCTTTTTCCCTCTTCTTCTTCTCTCTTTTCCTGTTCTCTTTTCCACTGCTTTTTCTCCTCTTTAATTGTTTCCTCCTTTCTCTGAGTTCTTTCTCTCTCTGTTGTCGTTTCTTTTTCAAATTCTTCCCTTTGTTTGTCCATTTTTTTATTTATTTCTTCCATTTCCTGTTGGTATTTTCTCTCCATCTCCTCCCTCTCTTTCCTCATCTCCTCTTCCTTCTTCTTTCATAATTTTCTTCATCTCTTTTTTAATGGCTGCATCAGCCTCTTTGAGCATGTCGTTGGTGTAACAGCCTCCACCGTTTTCCTTCACCATCTCATCGATCTTCTGCAGCAGCTCCACGACCTGAGTGCGATTCTCTTATCATCATTATTAAACACATGGTACCTGTTCCCACACTTAGAGATCAGTTTCCTTAAAGGAACTTTCACATTCTTTTTCTATGTAATCTTCAATTGACATTTTAGCCTTGACCAGCTGATCTCCATGTGTAAAAAGAATAATAGTAAACTTTTGTGCCTCTTTTCCAAATGCTTCTTTGATGAGTTTTAGTGTTTCTTGCTCTTCTTCTGTCAGTCGTCCAATTTGTAAAACCAACAGAAAAACATGTGGTCCAGGAGCTAAAAGACTGATGCATCTCAGCATTTCCTCGTAGACCTCATCATGTGACATGGTTGTGTCAAAGAGTCCTGGAGTGTCCACCACAGCCACAGAGCGTCCGTCTACTGTAGTTTTTACCCTTTTAGAAACTTTAGTGACAGATACTGGACTGGACAGAGCTGTGAACTCCTTTCTTCCCAAGATGGTGTTTCCTGAAGAACTCTTTCCATTCCCTGTTTTTCCAATCAGAACGATCTTCAGACAATCAGGACTCAGACTATCACCACCTGAAAATAATAAAAACATGTTAAAAAATGTTACACTTTAACTATAAACACTGTTGGGCAAGTTACTTCAAAATTGTAATGTCTTATTTATGACTGTCTATTACTGTCGTTTCAAAGTAATTTGTTACATTACAATATTACTGCATTTAAAATGTAAGGCATTACATTACTATTGCATTACTTTTACGTTACTTTCACCAAAATAAGTGGAAATATGGGTTTGGCTATCTTAAATGTAGCTCATGACACTCATTTCACTCATTACACATCAAGTGGAAGGTGATGTGGTATGTGGCTGAGCTGAACAGGAAGTTTAGTTGCTAGCGTTAATCTGCAGCTTCACCTCGGTCTGTGCACTGTGTGAATGTAAACAGACACACGTGAGGAACTACTCTTGCCTTTTTACTTTCAAGGAATGCCTCAAACTGAATTCACAGCATGGTTTTGTGGACTGGATGTCATTATTTGGAGAGGACAATTTCTATGGATAATGTGGATGAGACGCTGCAGTTTAAATTTACAACTTTATGAGAGGTGAGGAATAAAGTCTTCTAATTATTTTCGCTATTTCCTGAGTTTGTATGTTGCTCCTCTGTGTCCGTCACTCCATCTGTCCCTGACGCTCTGTTTTATTGGCTGTTACGATAGCTTTGCTGATGTTTGGTGGTTATGATCTGACAGAGCAGCTCAGAGTCACACACACATGAGGAGCGAAACAGCTTCAAAATCCCACAAAGTCGGCTCATGCCAAACGCAGCCAAAATCTGGCAAATTCTCCTGTAGTGTAAGTGGTGGCTTTTAAGAATACATTTGATGTGATTCACAATTATGTTATGTATCTGTATTGATCTGGTTGGACGTTTCACCGCTGCTGATCTGCTGAATACACCACTTCAATACAGGGTAAAATGCATTGTAACACGCGTTACTAACATTTGTACCTAGTAAAATATTACATGTTATAATTAGGGATGTCAAATTATCGCGTTAATTGCGATTAATTAATTACAGTCATATTTAGCGCGTTATATTTTTTAATCGCGTTAATCTCATTTTTAATCTCTAACTTTAGTGTTTCTGTATGTGAGTTTCTTTATTATAAAACCTGTTTTTATGTGTTGTTGGGACAACAACACACACACACACAAAAACACATTTATACATTTTTTTATTTCGGTAATTCCACTCATTGCCGGAAAGCCACACAAAATGCGCGCAGTAACAGCGAAGTAAACGTCATGTTAACGTTGGAGGCGTCAGTCCGCACAATGAACGAGGTCGAAGAGCAAGTAGAACAGAGGCAGCAGTGCACAGGTAAAACACATTCGTGTCTTGGAAATTATTCTCCCGACGTGAAATATAAAAGAAAATAACAAATATAATATCGCCTGAAAACAACCTGCATAGGCTCATGATGTCTGCACTATTGTCCTATAGTGACCTGCCACATGAGACACACACACACAAACACAAACACACACAAAACACACACACACACAAAACACACACAAACACACACCTTCATCATCGTCATTACCCTGAGAATGTGCGGACCACGTTTCCTTCCGTAGTTACTTACTGCGTGGACATCGCTGTCCTCCGTGAGCCGCGTGTGGATCGTGTTTTCTCGCGTACGCGGCGTAAACCGAGCTTCCTCCTGTGCACCTCTAAACCAGAACTAACACCAAGACTAAAACCAGGTCTAAACCAGGACTAAATAGGAATAAACCAGGACTAAAACCAGAACTAAAACCAGGTCTAAACCAGGTCTAAACCAGAACTAAAACCAGAACTAAAACAGGACTAAACCAGGACTAACACCAGGACTAACACCAGGACTAAAACCAGGATTAATCCATTCCAGGACTAAACTAGGACTAAAGTAGGTCTAAACCAGGTCTAAACCAGGACTAAAAACCAGTGATCTCATATATAAAGCATTTCTCTATCAATAATATTTTTAATATGGTTAAGGAAAGACTGGACTTTTTATTGTCTTTAAGTAGACAAAAGTTATTATGTTCAGATTTCCTCGTCTTTGCTGCTTTACAACAAACAGTTTCTTATTCATGGAGACTTGGGCTCAACAAATGACTTTATAAAGTCACTTTTTTTAATCAATATCAGTCTTCTGATCTGCCACAATAATGTAATAATGAATTTAAAAAAAAAAATACCTCAAATTGAAGGCTTTTCTCAGCAATTTTAGGTGAGATTAAAATGAGATTAATTAGATTAATTATTAATTACAGATCAATAATTAATTAATCTCTCAATTTTTTAATCGCATGACAGCACTAGTTATAAATTTTTTTTCTGTAATGCCTTACATTACTGTGTTACAACAAAAAAGCAATGCATTACGGTAATTTGTTGCTTTTGTAATGCATTACTCCCAACACTGACTATAAACATGTAAAAGAGTCAGGTTCCAGGCCTGTTGGTCAGGGTGAATGTTCATGTAAAACAGGGAAATGATAAGACAGAAAACAGTGAACTTTCCCTCTGCCTTACTACTGCCACATGCCCTTTTCACTCAGCCCACTGGCTAGTTCTGGTTCAAAACGTGGATCCTCACTTCCTGCTCCATTCATTCTGTATGAGTAATTATCTGAGTCGTGCTAAAGTAAATCAATATTTAAGTAGGTAAGTCAATAAATAACAGCACTGCCATGACATTAAAGCTTTAACCTACTTGTGGAAAGCATTACACATATTGGCCTGAATGGCTTGGCAAACTCCATAAAAAGAAATTTACATGGAAATATTTACATGGTTGAAGATTGTTAAAATAACAGAATGTTAAAATAATTTTGTTTAAGGTTAGCATTAGGGTTGTGCATTGTGTAGTCTACCACACGTGCCCACAATGACCTTTCAAAATGTGTTCTGCGCCGCACTGTTTTGCATCGGGTCCTGCGGGAGTGCAAGGCTCTACTGAAGACTATAAAAAGCAGGAAAAAAGTCAGAAAGGTATTGAAAACGCATTCAATAAATTTAACTGGAGTTTAGGTGCAAATTCAACAATTGGGAAAATTCTGAACAGCAGTTACCTAACAGAAAACGCTGCATTGTCTATAGGGGTTAATCAGGGATGCCCTTTACCTCCCTATTTATTTAGTTTGTGTATGGGAATTTTGGCCAGTAGAAATATTAGAAATTATATATATATATTTTTTTTTATTTAAGCTGCCTGCACTGTCAAAGGTCCTCAACACCCTTTGTGACAGCAGGATATGTGCAACCACAAAGATCCTGCTTCTTTTGCCTGCATAACAACCTCTGCAACACCCCTGCAACCATCTGCATTGGTACCAACCCACACCACGGCCGCCTGTATCTCCAATGCCACTACAGGGTCACTGACTCAATGTGCACAAATGTTTCATTTCATGTAGCAGCTTCATGAGTTTAACTTTGTTTTGCTGATGTTGTTGGG